CGGGCCTGCGAGATAGACCGGCGCCTTCTGCCGTCATAGGCCTGCAGCCCCGGCAGCGCGCTGGGCGCCCCGCAAAACCCCCGGGAACGGGTTAAAATTTTGGGGGACACCCCCCCTCACCACCACCACCCCCCCCCCTCAGGCCGCTGTTCCGTAGCGCGGGGCAGCGCTGGGCAAAGGGGGCGAGTCCGGCGCTTGTTGGCGTCACGTTTCTGCAGGGCCCGCAACAGCGGCGAGCCCCGTCTGTGAAAGGAGCGGATTCCAGTTCCGTCACCAGTGCGTTCACTAAAACGCAGGAGGACGCCAGGCTGTGCCTGACGTAGCAGTAGCTTTGTGTGAGGTAAGGAGCTCCCTGAGGAGAGGAGCGGAAGGCCCCGGGCTCTGCGGGGCTGGGGTGCAGGAAGGGCCTTGGACTCGCACCGTGAGCGCCCGTAGTTCTCACACGAAGCGCAAATCAAAACATTTCCTAGTCAGGATCCAGTTACTGCATTTTTTCTTTTGTGCGTGGCTAAATCTTCATGTTCTTCCCAAATTTATTTTGATCTTAAGGTGCCACTGTAACGTTCTGGGTAGTCACAACCGTCCCTGCCTGAAGCTGAGACCGGATTCTTTTTTCTCCTGTAACTCTTTGCATCTGTTCCTCGCTTTAGGACAGCAGTGATGACATTGAGGACGTGTCTCTCTTTGATGCAGATGATGATGTATCCAGGAGATCAAAAAAGTCAAAAATAAGGTCAGTGGCCATAGAGTTTCTAGATGAGTCCTAGGTGGAAGTGTGAGGAAGGAAGGAGAGATTGCCATGTGCCATCAGCACATGAGACAGCAAATACCTTCTCGGTTTGACTAGAGAGAACGGAGAGTGATTCTGGATAACGGAGCGTGCCAGGTCCAGAAGCTCAGTTGGAATTTGTAGGTCTGTGCCTTCACACTTCTGGGTGCCCTCACGTTTCATATGTGTTTGTCTTCGTGTGTGTAAGGGATCTGCACTGATGCAATGACTGCGTAACGGGAGGTTCTCACCGCGCTGAGTGCTGGTTCTGGGCTCGTCCGTTCTCTCTGCCCCCCTTCCCCGTCTCTGTTCTCAAGTACGTTTGGTGCTGCCCTGCTGCCTGCCACGTCCCAACGTAGTTAGTCCAGCCGCCTCCTTCCTTGTTCTGCCCAAACTCCTGCCACAGAGCAGCATGCGTGCTCAGGTGCTGTGGTGACCTGTGCTCTATACTGCGCGTTTCTGACCCGGAAACTGCAGAAATCAGAAAGAAGAGCAAGTCTGCTGTGTTGAGAAATGTGATTTTTTTCCTTCAGAGGATCTTTCCTCTGTCAGAACCTTTTTAAATTTTCCCCATAAAAATTGCCTTACATTGAACCCCGTAAAACTCCCTGTCCCCTTCCACCCCAAATTCTGTTTGTGTGTGGGATGTGGCTGCGCATAGAATGTGTCTTCCTTACGATGAGCTTCCAGTCAGTTTATTTCCCATATTTTCAGCAGTCGTTGCATGCTGAGTTCATCTTACGATGCTGATCCTTATCCTGTGAGTTGGTGGGAGATCACCTTGGCAATGGCATTTCTCTGAAATTGCTTCAGTCTTGTCTGAAAGAGCTGTGACGGTACTGTCCTTCATTCCAGGCATCCAGTGGCATCATTTTTCCACTTATTCTTCCGAGTCAGTGCGATAGTTGTCTATCTGCTCTGTGAGCTCTTAACTAGCAGCTTCATTGCCTGCATGGTGACAATTATCCTCCTCTTGTCGTGTGACTTTTGGGCTGTAAAGGTAAGTTCCTCTTAAGCTTTTTGTTATCTTCATCTTACTATATAAGAATAATTGAAGAGAGGGATATTCATGTCACACACACAAAAAAAAAAGTAACTTCTTTGTGCCTTTCCTACAAAACGATACCCAAAATACCCTCAAGTACCGTGATGTGTTGTAAAATGTTATGAAATACTGACTCTGGTTTCTTTCTGAAAATCAAATAGAGAACATATATTAGGTTTTCTTTTAAGGTAGCACATTATCAGGCTTCGTTTTCAAATCACCAGAAATACACCTCGCAGTAATTTAGTGTTGTACTGGAAATATTAGAAAATAGATTGTTGTGGACACAAGAGCCTTGTAATTTTGTTTTCCCAAATGTGAGGCAAATGAGCAGCACTGGAAATAGCAACCTAAACAGCTGAACTTTGGCAAATGGTTTCTTTTAGCAGAAAATTTAAAGCTCATTGCTATTCTTCTATTTCAGAATGTCACAGGGCGGCTGATGGTAGGTCTTCGCTGGTGGAACCAAGTGGATGATGATGGGAGAAGTCACTGGGTATTTGAAGCCAGGAAGGTAAATCCTCCCCCTCCTTTTTTTTTTTCTTTCTTTTAATTGTTTCTGTTTTATGAAACCCCTATTAATTAGTGGCTCTGCTTGTGATGGTAGATTGCGCAATGTAGACATTTACTTCCAGCCGCAGATCTGTGACCGTGTGCTTCTTTCATGTAGGCTGCTGAATGAGCTTTTTGGTTGTTGAATTATTTAAAAATTCTCATGATGTCTTGATCTGGCTTAATGCAAGTAATGTAAAAGTTCCACCTACAATGCAGTAAAGGTTCCCGTTCCATGTCAGTAGCCTACAAGTTTTCTGGTGTGAACTTGGTAGCTTTTATCTCCTCTAGAAAACTATTTGAAGTAGGAAGAAACATATATAGCATTGGTCATGGCTATTACTGTGCCTTTGTGTTCGTGATGGTTACTGCCAAGTCTCTAGTATCCTGATCACGTATTTACCTGTTCGATCCCCATCTCTTCTCTCTGTATGGACCTAATGGCATGCAGATCTCGAGTGAGGTGGTGATAATTTCCTGCGGTCACTGGGAAGTCTGCAGCAGTGTAGGGACTTGAATCTAAACCTTTCTCCAGTTGAGTTTGTGCCCTCACTACAGGCACTTTCTCTCTCAAAACCGTGCTAGTTTAGAAAAGCTGGAACATATTGCCGGAGGAGGGGGAAAGGTAGCCGAACTGCTGGTGATGCTGTAAATTTACCTGTAAGTTGTTAACCCAGTCCAGATTTTTTAACTGTTGGAGGAAGAAGTGAGTCCTTGTTGGGATCTTCTGCTCTGTAAAGACTATAAAATCAATAGCGTGGTGTGAATCAGCCCTCTGTGCGTGAAAAGAAACTACTTCGATGCCTAAGAGTATCAGTAGTTAGTTCTGTCTGTGCTAGGATTAATGAAATTCTGGTCATCTGTGCAGTGACTTGGACGTAGAAAACACTACCCGTTCGGCTGTTCCTATGCTTTGTAACTGAACTGTGCAGTAACCGTAATGTTTCCCAAACCTACTGGGGCCTTTTAGCCCCAAGCTTTCCAACAGGATTCGGTGCTGCTGCCTCCATTGCTCCTGAGAGAAAGTTAACAAAAGGGTCCCTTAAATGGAAACTTCTTCTGCTGCAGAAAGATGTTTGTGATGTAGAACTTGATCTCAAAAGCACCCAGTACTGCTGCATGGAGGCAAAAACCAGGAGACTTGTAGATTCTGGACTGTTTTTAATGACAGTGTGATCTATACAATGGAGCAGCCTGTTAATCACCGTGTCCTTTCTGTTTCTAGGTATCAGCGCAAGGGAGTAAAACCTCATCAGAAGCAGAGTCCCGAATTTTCTGGTTAGGTCTAATTACCTGTCCTATGATCTGGGTGATATTTGCTTTCAGCGCTCTCTTTTCTTTCAAAGTGAAATGGCTGGTGAGTGGACTCCCTCAACGCAGTAACAGATCCTGTACGTTACAGGTAAAGTGGTGTAAATTCGTGACTGTATTTTCCTGTCTCTTAGGCAGTGGTTGTGATGGGAGTGGTGCTTCAGGGAGCCAACCTTTATGGTTATATCAGGTGTAAAGTTGGCAGCAGAAAGAACTTGACAAGCATGGCGACCAACTATCTTGGGAAGCAGTTCTTGCGGCAGGTAAGATTTCCAGGGTTTTGGAAACCCTCCAGTCGTATTTGGTTTTGTCCATCAGCTTCCTTACTGAAAAGAAAGACTGAAAAAGTTGTTACCTGTAGTTCTGCGAAGGGAACCTTCACATCTTGCTGCCTCGTGAATTGGAGCCCCCTTAGTAAAGTCACAGAGTAACTTGCTAATTATTGGCATCGAGTTTTGTTCGCAGCGCATCGTGAGCTCAGATTATTTGCTGGTGCCATAGAAGTTACTGGAATGTGGCTGGTTTATTGGGAATAGGGAACACAGTGAATGTGGTGAGAGTGACAAAAGTTTTTCACAAGCAACTGCTCTTGGATAATGTATTGCTAAATTACTCCTTTCGTTGCACTGCTTCCCCTTCAGGTTGTGCTGGCCACAAAACTGTCCATCTGGAGGGCAGTTGCATTGGTCCTTGTGCTTCAGTGCGCAGCGGCAGCATGCGTAGCTCTTGGCCGAAAAGGCTGCCACTGCCTTTTATATTCTCTCCCACTTCCACCCAGCTCTTCTCGAGGTCCTTTTCTTCCCCAGCGCTGGGTTTTCTTCCCTCCATAGGTCCCTGCAGCAGTAAGGGGACTCCCTTGTCTCGCTTCTGGACTGTCATTTAACTTCTGCTTTTACCAAGTTTCCCGAGTGTCCTATATTACGCAGACAACTATGGGGACATGGGGACAGGAGGTTTGTCTGCCACAAGTGGTTCACAGATCTTTGCTGGAATTACTCTCATTAGCATGATTGATAACCCTTTCTTGGCAGTCTGGGATTGTGCTCTTCTGTAGCTGGATTTGCTTCTGAATGCTTTTACCACTGCAGTGGTTAACCAGAGACCCAGACCAGTCTCGGTCTTTGGAAGAAATTAATTTTTTGCCCCAGAATCATAGCAGTTCTGTACTCCTGTACTCCTTTTCTTCCTTTGCCTTCTGCAGACTGTGGCTAAAGAGGACCAAACAGCATCCTGAGTACAGTGGAAGCCTCAAGCCAGCCTGGATTCACAGTAGTGGACAACAGAGAATGTTGCTCTGACCACGAGATTTGGGAGCTGCATACGTTGACATGTGAATTAAAAGAAGTAAATAAATTGTGCAAGACTTCAGGTTAACGCTCCTAGCAACTTCTATTCGATTTTCCACTAGCAGTTTGTGTTTCAGTCCTTTCTTTAGTTTGATTAATTAGAATTAATTTGTCTAAACTTTAATTAAACAAATATCCTAGGTGGCTCTCATTCAGGTTTAGAACTACTGGATGAATTAAGAGGAAATTGCTGGACGTCCTTCTTCAGAAAACCCATGCACAAGCCAAGCCTTGTTGTCCAAGAACTCCCCCGACTCCTCCAGCAGTTGGTGCCTCAGATAGTTTCAGTTGTGGACTTTGCTGCGTTTTGTTCTTGGAGGTTGTTGCCGCTTCTGTTATAAGTTTAGATAGTGCTCTTTTGGCTCCGCACCCCTCTCATTCTGTGATTTGAATGGTGCTGAGACGTTGCAATGAAGGACATCTAAAGGAAATGTTGCTGTTGGCTTAGAGGGAAGATTATCGTGGGAACTGCAGAAAATGACTTCTGAGCAGCTGCGGTCCTTTATTTATCTGAAGCATTCTTGGAGGTCTCAGTAACATCTTAACCCCCTGGATTTATGGGAGGTCCCTTTTTTACCCGTAGGCCTGCATCTTTGTGGAGACCGCAGCAAGAGTAAAACCAAGTTCCGAGGAAGGCTGCAGGCACAGTTTCAGAGGCAGAGTGAGCGTGAGAGCAGTAGTTGTCTGCCTGATGCTGTTAAAGCAATGCCATCTGGCGTCGCGTCGGCGCTGCGCAGTGCGCGTTTCCTGCCTTGGGTCCTTGTTTCTGGGCAGGAGGATGTAGGGTGATGTGATCTGTGGTCACCAGCCCCTCGGCACAGGGTTGTGGGGAACATGACCGACAGGGTTTTACGTTTCCTGAATCCATGCAGTGTGCTGTCCTCAAGCCCTGCTCCCCAAGGAGTCTCTGGGCTGGGAAAAAGCCTTTTGTAGGACCATGAAATGTTGGCTGCCGGCGTTCGCTTAGACAGCAGAAAGTGGTGCATGAAAAGCTATGTGAAAGGGGCCGGATCCTTCTCGTTGTGTACTTCCGTTCAAGGCAGATTGTCCTTTCGTAGCGGCGGATATTGTAAACTTCAGATGAGGTATTTTAAATTAAGAATGTGGTTTCCTTTTGAATAATGGCTATTGTAAATTGTGGGATTGTGTTAAGAGGATTTCTCTCCCTGTACTGGAGCGATACTTGGGAGCTGTACATTTGTTTAACTCTTTGGATTGATACCTTCCTTTTGTAAATATGTATTTATAAAATCTTGAAATTAAAATAATGCTTTGTTTAACCAGACCAGATATCCCTTCTATGATTCATGGCTGAGCTCTATTTATGTACTGTGTTCTTGCAATGTAGTTTTAACAGGGGTTACTTGTCAAGTTAAACGATGCTGTTTAACGAGCTCTGGCACCCTTCCTTTCATCAAGGGGTCTCGGACAGTTTTGCCTGTGCAAACACTTTCTTTGTTAGCGTGCTGGAGTTGTTGTCATGCAGAGCTGAAGTAATTGGCACTCTGTAAGGCTTGCCCGGAGTGCGGGAGAGGCTCCATCTGAGCTCTGCCTGCGTCCCCGGCTGGCTCCTGGCACCACATAGCGGGAACTTCTAGTCCCCATGTACGTGTAAGGGATGATTTATTTCTAAGGAATGAATGAAAACAGGCAAAATGAAGTGAATTAGTGAGGTCAAGGAGCTTCTGCAGCCACACAGTGACGGGCAAGTGCATTATCTGGCCTGTACAGCGTGAAGGAAGGGAAATCCTTTCTGCTCCAGCAAGCCCCCGGTTTGCCGCTGCTGTCGACAGGACGGCACCGACTCCGGCACAGCTCCAGCCACGAGGTGGTTGGTTTAAAATGTGTTGAAAGCTTTGGGTTTAGTGTTTATTCTCCTGCTGTCAAAGCTCCCACCAAACTGCTGGAAAATAGTGCTTTTCTGGAAGTTGCAGTTTAATCAAGGACAGAGGCATTTATTAGTATGTGTCTTTAAATATAGCCCTCTTTGGCTTATTTTTAGCCTCTTGGCAAACGTTCAGTCTTTTGGCTTCTGAGAAGCTGGCATTTTCTTGTGTTTTTCCATGGTATGGATCGGAACCAAATTTCTTATCGCTGCTCCAGTTGGGTGTGAGTCTCGTTTGATTTTTACTCGCTCTCTGCCCGGGGTTTCCTGTGAAGCAGGAAGTGGGAGTTGCTGCAGAATGGGGAAATTCTCTGAATGTGCTTTTTTTTTTTTTTTTTTTTTTTTGACAAGCCTCAGGAATCCACGCTGAGCCAGCTTCTGGAGCATTAGCTGTGTAATGGTGGCCCCACCTAAGACCTCCAGGCCTGGGTGGTGGCTGAACTTTCAGGGTTTACAGAAGCAGAAATACTCCAAGAACAACAATAATAATACACTATTTGCTCTGAAATAGCAAAGTATGCCTTGGATGTGGCGAGTGCAGCTGAAAGGTGGGCTTGACATCATCCTCATTTTACAGGCAGAGGCGTTTTGAGTCTTTTGAGCTCCTCACTCGCGGAGCTGGGGACGGAACGGGCCCTGGGGGTCACTTGCTGTCTGCTTTGGGTTGCCTGAGGCCTCATCCTGCGCATCCTGGGGACGAGCGGCTCCAGCGCTCTTTGGGCGCAGCAGGGACCTGTCCCCTGTTGCTGCCGTGGACCGGCTTTGGTTTGTCACTCACCGTAGCACTGTGCCTGCAGCCAGCGGGGTGCTGGAGTCCCCAGGAGGTGGCTGGCTGCAGGGGCAGAAGCAATGCTCTTTCCGGCCCTGTGCTTGAACACGTTACCGTGATGTATCCGAATATTCTCAGACCACAAAAGCTTTAGAGGCAGTTTTGCCCTCTCGGCTGTATCTCCCCTTCCCTGTGTGCCACCCCCCTGTGCCTGGGGAGACCGCAGGGAAGGGTGAAGGAGGGATGCTGGGTGCACATGGGCGCTTGGAGCCTGTCTGTCTGTTCCTCCAGAGATTTCTTGGAGACTTGCCGGGCCCGGAGGGCTGCAGGGAAAGGTCTGTTGTGGTTGTTTGGCAGAGGCCACGGTCAGCCCTGCTTGGACAGGACAGCCCAGCTGGTATTTCCTAAACAAAAAGCTGCAGTGACTAATGGAGATTGACCTTTGGGGACACCAAAGGGAGCGGGGATGCGGGTGAGGAGGCTGGATGCTGGCCGGGACCCAGCGCTGCTTCCAGGGCTCCTGGCAGGAAGGGATTTCTCGCTTCCCTCCTGCCTTTCCGTGCAAACAGCCCCAATTTGGGAGCAGGCGTCCCTTCCCACCCGGCAAACCCACAGCAAACCGAGAGCCTCCCCACTGCCCTGATAAGACAGGAGAAGGGTAGAGAGAAAGGAAACGCTATTTCTGGTTTACCGATAGCAGCATTTTTATACCACCAAGGACACGTGGGCCTGTCATTATCTGCCTGTGTGTGCCGAAAGCAAACCGGGTGTGCTGAACACGATTCCAGTTCCTTCCTCTCCCCCCCGGTGCCAGCGTGTGGCTTGGGGCAGCTGCCGTCAGGGATGTGCTGCTTGGGTTCTGCCACTCAGCCGCAGGCTGCAGCTCTCGTCTGCTTGAATTTCAACTCCTTTTTCTCAGGGGAGGCATCTGCCGTGGGGACAGTCTCTTCCTCGGCTTGCAGCAGGTA